ATGTTTCTTTGGTTGGAATTTCAAGAGTAATTTTGTGGTGCGTCGCAATTCGAGAAGTGAAAATAAATAAAAATATTAATAATAATAATAATAATTGGCAATCTTGATTCAGATATTATGAATTTTTAAAAAGTGAGATCTAATTATCAGTTGTTATGATTGCGGAAAAAATTCGTAATCTGTGAATAAATTTCTGTACCAGATGTAAGAGTTTCAATTGTTGAAAATGTTATTTCAGAGCTTAGTGCGGAAGTAGCTCGATTGCAAACAGAATTAAACAGCGCTCGACTACAAGAGTTTGAGGCCCAAGAGCAAGCAGCTTTATCCAATGCTCGTCTGGAAGAGGAAAGAGAGATGAGGGAAAAGTGTGAAGAGGTGATAAAACAACTGACTATTCACAAAGAGAACATGGAGAGGGTCTCGAGAATGGTGTCTGATGAAGTGGAGGCTCTGAAAAGCCAGTGCGACAGAGAGCGAGAGCACACTAAGATGATTAAGTTCGAGGCTGACAGAGTGCAGAAGGAGCGAAATGTTTTGGCACATCAGAGTGCACTACTCATGGCAGAAGTCAGCGATGACTCCAATGGGCGGCTTCTCGCTGTACTTCAAGAGGTTGAAACACTGAAGAGACACCTCGAGGAGGAGAAACAGGCGCACATCGAGCAGATGCAACTGCTCCAGGATAAACTCGAGGAGAAAGAATCCAATGTGGAGTTTGAGATCGTCGAGGAGAAGCTCAAGCTCTCAGAAGTCGAGATAAATATGATGCAGGAGAGGGCGGAGAGGGCTGAGGGCGAAGTGGAGAGGCTTGAGGGTGTGGTCGCTAAATTGGAGGAGATGCTGAGTAAGAGTGCACCACCTCCAGCACCACCGATGCCACCACCACCTCCACCTCCTCCATTACCTCCGGTTAATAATTCTGCTCTGTCTACTGTTAAACTTCTTACCAGGGAACGTGCTCAGGGCGATTCTAATCGCAATTCCGCCATTTATGATATGGAGAATATTCTAGGAATTACTAAAAAATCAGCTGCAGTTCCACAACAGCCTGGTAATTTCCTTTTGTTCTGTTTTGGTGCATTAGAAAATTATGGACAAAAAATTAGACATGTTATTTCAAATGAAAAATGTGGTAAACCTCAAAAGTGGAATTTTCTTATTAAAAAATGAAGATTTAGAACTCAAAGATAAATACTGGGGGGGTTTAGTAATACCTCGAATTTTCTGTTTCAGCCATAGACGACATAATAAATCAGATAAAAGGAGGAAAATTTACACTCAAACAAACAGACGTAAGTGGCCAGTTTTCACAGTAAATACATGGAAAAATGTGATTTATTTAAAGTCCATTAATATCCCTGCAGAAACAACGGGAGCAGGAGAGACGACGAAAACGCGAAATGGAGAGTGCACCAGCAGCTGTCTCTGAGATGCTGAATATCCTCGGGACAATGAGACGAAGAGCGAAACCAGTCAGACAGTCTCTCAACTATCCCGATGTTTCCACATGATTTTTACTCAGCATTGCAATTGCATTATCACGCATCATAAAAAAATCATTTCACAAGTATTACAAATGCGGCGTAAAAAATATCTATATATAGTTATACATATGTACAAAAGAGAACGAAAAATAAGCATTCGTTTTTCAGCGTCAAAATTTTTCGATAAATATTTTTGTGTATTAAATGATCTTTTGGATGTTTTTTTTTTTCTGTCTCGATTCTGAGTGGATTTTTTTTAATGCGCCAATTCTTTCTTTATTTTCTCAATAATCGAGGGTAGTTTAGTGGCTTCAAAGAGCATGACTCGCCTGTGAGGCACCATCTCCTCGTCATCGTCTGCCCAGGCACTCGTGTCAGACTCCTTGTCAACGGAAAACTCAAAACTACACATTGCATCCTCGGTGAATATCTCCTCCTCTGGATTACTCCAGATTAATTCTGGCTCCTCCACACCTCTCTTCTTCTTCTTTCCTGGGGTGTTCTTTGGCTTGTAGAGCTTTGAGATTAAAACGTAGTACTGAAAGTCGTATGGCATTTTCTTATTCACAGCCCGCTTCATGTCCGATATCAAGTTCTCGAGGAGGGGGACTGCTATGTCTGCTGGAATGTTGACAAATCTCTCGCTTATTATAAGACCTAGTGCTGCTGAGTCATTCTCCAGGATGCTCTTTATCAGGGCATTTGTCGTGTCTGAAGCGTAGTCATTTGAGTAATCAGCTAGCACTTTCCGAAGTTGCTTTATGCAATTTTGGTTCTGCGTGGATGAAAAATTGATTGAAAACTCGTTGAATTTTTGATGGTAATCACAGAAAATATAAAAATTTTCTACATGAATTAATATCAAATTGATAAAGTAGACTCCCATTATATATCCGCTATCGCAAATCGTCTCGATAGATTCCCAAATACTTTTTCGACAACGAATTAAATCACGTCTAAACACAAAATAAAAAATACACATTGAAAAATCGATATTTACATGTACCTGTCCCTGAGAAATATTAATGACAGTGGTAATGCCAAAGACATCATTGACATCGTCCTCATCATCATCGTCATCCTCATCGTCATCTCCCCCCTGCTTAACGACGGACCCCACGTAATTCCGTTCGATAACAAAATTAGCCAGCTCTGAGGTCTCCACTTTGGCCTTGAGAAACAGCTGCTGAAGGAGAAGCTTTATTCCATTGAAGTCGGAGTCCTCAGGCATTCGCCCCACGAAGTCCACCATAATCTGGGTCCCCTGAATCACATGATTATTCAACTACCAGG